CTACTAATAGTTCCAGATATAGCAATATACAAAATGAGAGCTCTGGCTGTGGCACTACCCGAACCGAAGGGTTGTAACAGTGATATGATCGGCACATGAGCACCATCTCTACTGATTGCCATTATTGCAATGTAAATGAATAGAATGTCTGTTTCTCCTTCTTCTTCTTCTTTTTCTCAACATCAATTGCATACGACTTATGGTAACTCTCCGTAATCATTAAAGGTGGCGCTACTTATGCGCATCAATTGACTTTTGCATTAGCTCTTATGTACTGTGCGTGCCTTTTGACCCGAACAGCAACAGCACAACCACCGATTTCTTACTATCATCCTGCAAACGCCCTAATGGACAGTGACTATGAGTTTATATGCATTAGGGTGGCTCAAATGCCATAACCGGTTCAAAATTCGTGGCTCCCAACCTTGGATCCGAAATTTCACATCTCTGTTTTATTTATTTTTGGTCATTAATTGGTACATTGCGTACAAACAGTAAAGTACTTAAGCAGAAAGTGATAAGAAACGAAATCAGAGAACATTCTGTCATTTTGATGGATGTATTTACACGGCAATATCACTCGGTTACATTGCTACCAATATTTACGTTGATATTTATACTTTCAAGCCGATGCTTACATAACAAAGCTAATCAAAGCTATTTTTGGTTTTGTTTACAAATGATAAATAAAACAGAAAATCGAATTAAAACACTTTACTGACCTAGACCATGAATGTGATTGCTCTTATCAATCTTATTCTAGTAAATGAATGTCAATAATCACTGAACAATTTCATATTAATTTTTATTGACGTTTTCAAACAGATAATCTGTTTAAAATTTAAAATCTTCTGGTTTTGAATAATTTTCTAAAATGGCACCGGATTGTTCTTATTGCATGCTTTGCAATGGATCATTACTTTGATGGCACCATCACGATTATATCTAGCTGTATCAAAGGCTTCTTTCGTTTGTGATATGTTGAAATGATGTGTTATCAATTTCTTGATCGGCACTTTATCACTTGCCGCTATTGCCAGAGAAGCTGAATACTCATTAGCGTATCTGAAGATGCCACGAATGTCAATTTCGCGTGTAAGTCTTGTTATCAACGGAATTTTAACTTCGGATGGACCCAAACCCACGATGACCGCAACACCACCGGGCCTCGTAGCTAGAATGGCTAAACGATTTATTGCTTCGGAACCTCTGCAATCGATTGTAACATCGGGAGGTGTGCCCACTGCCCATTGTCTCATGGATCTTTTTCACTAATTCGCCCTCATTCTGATCCTTGGTAACGGCCAACTTTGGTATGTTGCACCCAATTCTTTGGCCAATTTCAATCGATCAGTCATAATATCGGTGATAAAAACATCGTCAGCGCCCATCGATTTTGTAGCTGCTAGGACGGCTAAACCAATTGGATTCGCGCCAATGATTTACATGCGTGTACCAAGACCAACTCCACCCCGATAACATGCACGGACACCGCAAGTGAGTGGTTCGAGTAAAGCACCTTCTTCCATGGTCACGTGATCCGGTAATTTATGGCAAAAATTGGCTAAATGCACACAATACCGCGTTAGATTTTCATCGCTTTGCTTATGGAAAAATACACAGAGAAAGTTGAACTTGTGCTATCATCACGTAATAAGTGTTGTGTTGCCAGTTATTGACATCAAATGATGGACAACCAATCCAATCGGTGTACTGATAATAATTTGTTTTGTCGTTAGCTAATTATTTGTCGTCTTCAGCATATGACACATTAACCATAAATGTTCTAGCGTTTTGGAGATACAGTTCACGCATCGTTGTTTACGCAAATAACACAAAAATCGAATCGATCAAAGTATCTGAGCACGTGACATCAACAATTTATTTGGCTTCTTTTTTCCACATTTGTCACTAGAGAGAAGCTGATAAACTCGAATTTTGCATTGTATTTTTGGCGGTATTTGTTACTATTCCGCCTAGTGATCAATTCAGTTTTACCATCAAAAGGCATTATCATGATAATTACTTGTTTGCGCGCTCGTCGTGCAAAAGCTCCGATAATAAAGCAAAGATAAGTAATAGTGACATTCGATGGCAGAGGATTGTATGTATAAATAACATTGACCAAATTAACTGGATTTAGTTTATTCTTAGCATTGATAGCGAGCAGTTAGTTTTTGAGTTAAAAAGAAATGGGTTTCGAAAGTAAAATTGTGTTAGTAGCGGTATTGGTGCTGCTGCTGCAATTCATCTGGCTAAATTGGGTGCAAAAGTCTCAATTTTCGGTAGAAATGCAAAAGGACTGGAAGATGTGACGAAACAAATTAAAAGTGTTGGCGGTTCAACTCCATTGCAAGTTGTGGCTTATGTGACAAAAGATGCCAAACGTATCGTCGATGAAACAATTAAACAATTCGGAAAATTTGATGTGCTATTGAATAATGCTGGCAATTCGAATCACGATAAAATTCAAGACCTAAAAATGGAAGATTTTGATCGTGTATTCAATACAAATGTCCGATCTGTTGTCATCCTGACCCAACTGTGTGTACCACATCTTGAAGAAAACGAAGGGAAATATTGTGAATATTTCCAGCATCGCCGGATTGAAACCAATTTCCACACTAACTGCATACAGTACAGCAAAGGCAGCCGTTGAACAATTCACAAAATGTTGTGCACTTAATTTAGCCGAACAACGGATTCGTTTAAATTTCATCAGTCCAGCGGTGATTCGAACACCAATCTTTGGTAATGTTGGAATGAACGAAGAAACAGCGAATAAATTGTTTGAACAAGTCAAAAAAGCCTATCCAGTTGGACGAGTCGGTGAGGTGTCCAACACCAGTGAAGCTATCGCATTTTTAGCTGATAACGAAGGGACATCATTCTTAACCGGCATCTTCCTTTCCGTCGACGGTGGTAGCATGGTTGCTGGAGTTGAATACACTCAGGATTAATTCTGGTCACATTCGATTTTGAATTAAATAGATTTAATCGAGAAAAAAAGTCGAAAAGTTTTCCATAAGAAAGAAGATACTTGGATGAAAAGTTCAATGTGTATCTTTTAAATCTTTTTTCGTGTTTTTACAGCTGAAGTATTTCGAGCTCAGTGTGTTTTTCAACAAACTAACAATCCTTTAGAATGTTGAAGTGTGCCGATTGGTCTAAATTCGTGTGATATACGGAAAAAAATTGACAAAAATAAAATATTCGATAAAAATCAACTATTTTTTTTTTGTGTACTAGAAATATAAACTCTCCAATATTTGAGTATTTTCCATCAAATAAGCTCAAAGTAGATAAATGCTACCTTCGGAGTATATTACTATTCCGTAAACATTCAAATCAGATATTTTCCGGGTGAATGGTTTTCACCATGAAAAAAATGTCGGAAAATGGCTTGAATTTCCTTTTTTCAGCACAAATCTTCGGATCCATCAGTTGGGAGCTGCAAATTCTGAAACTTTTAGCATTTGGGCCACCCTAATAAGCATCAGCAGTCAATATACAGATACAATTATCTCCACATCTCCATGTGCTTTTGTGCACGAAGCAGTTGAGCGTGTGAGAGAGTGAGTGAGAGTAAGCGAGAGAATGTGAGTCAACACATGCTGCATGGCGTCAATCCATGGCTCGATGTTGCCAATTCCCTTCGTGTGCTCTTTTGCTGCACTCTCTCCCTCTCATTCTCGGAACGTCTCACGTTCTTCTCTCGCTCTCTCACTCTCAGTCTCGGCGAATTATTGTTGCGATTCAGATCCGAAAAAATTATCACCATAAACATAAACCTAAACCTAAATTTTCAACGCAAATTCATTGCCCTGATTATTTCCGATCTGATTATCACATTATGTAACGATGATTTTAACTGCATCATATTGTCATAATATGACTCTAATATAAATCTATTTGATGAACGTGAACTACATCAGCATCATAATGCAGTTCGCATATACACACACATACATAAACATACAGACACACACACACATACAGCCACATGACACACGTAAACACACAACAAATTGTGCCAAATATAGGAGGATACATACACACGGAGCATCAAACGCTGTAATCGTGCTCGCTCTTCAAAGGGAAGTTTCATCAGCTTTTTCGGATGTTTGCTTTGATTGGATTCGCTCTTTTTGTTGCCTTTTTCGCTCTCTCTCTCTCTCTCTCTCTCTCTCTCTCTCTTACGCTTCTTGCCCTTTTCCTGTCCCTTTTTTGGTTGGTTTTTTGTTGTTGTTGCTGCTGTTGTTGCGTGTTTTTCGATCTTTTTCGTTTTAATTTTATTTTATTCAATGCAACAACTCTCTTGAATTCAATCAAACTTTAATTATATTTCGATTGAATCAAATCGAATTCGATAAATACATTTTATATATCCGAAATAAATTCACTGCAGAATCACACATCAATTGATAAGAGTATCACGTAACACGCGTCATTTCAAAAGCTATCTGGTAATTTTGATTAAAAAATTAACACTAAAAAACGTTGTTCATGATTGATTAAATTTTGCGATTGGACCAACAGCGACAAACAAATCGAGAAAAAAAACAACAACGACAAAACAAATTCATTATTGAAAGAAAAAAAAACACGACCACACACACTACCACCACCACCGATGCGTTAAGCGACTAAACGTTTTTAAAGCGTTTCAATCGCCATCACTTTGCTAAATTGTTCATGTTGCTGTGTTGTGCTTTTTTTTTTCAGTACTTTTCACTGCTTCTATTTTTTTTGCTTCTGTGGTTAGTTGGTTGGTTTTGGGGGAGCCTCTATCTTTTCGCTGTTATGTCGTGGTCGATTTGCGAGAGTGCAAACTTTATTTACATGCTGCCGATAATAATTATAATAGTAACAATAACAACAACTATATTAATATACACATTGCACACACTAAGGTAAAAATATACTACACTTTGGGAAAGTATTGCCTCAGTGATACCACAGTCTGTTTTATTGCGAATGAACTGTGTATTGTAAGTCATCGTTTGTTTCACCCTATCGGGAGAGAAGGAATTTTTTACGCTTCCATAAACAGTCGCACACACCACGCGCTTTGTTGTTCGCATTGCTGCTTGATTTTGTTGTTGTTGTCGTTGTGACGCTAAGGCACTGCTGAGTTCATAAGAGTGTTGTCGAGTAAAAGAGAACGATGTATGGTGCGCGGCATGATGGATCATTTCGGTTTGCTCTTTCATCTACAAGGGGAGCTAAAGCATAAGCATATTTCCCCTCTTGCATACGCACGCACACCGACACACAAGTAGCACATAATAGAAATGAAGCAAAAGCAAACTCTGTCGACTTGGCGAATGAAAAAAGCACAAGAGCAAGCAGCGTACCACTGACGGCTGACAACAACAATGACGACAAAAGAGACGGTCATATGCGGGGAGCAAGAAAAAGCGAGAGGAAAGAATAAGAAGAAGAAGTTATTAGTGATACTGCGCCTGTAAATTGTGCAACCCCTCCTGATTTTCCGCTTTAGTTTCCTTTTGAACGATTCAATTTACTCTGAAAATAGAAAATTTATTGGAAAAAGCTAAGGCTTGTTTCCTTTTTACGTTTAAACATACGTTGCTTATTATTTTTCTCCCTCTGTGTTTGTTCTGGCTGCCTTTTGTTTCGTCTTTGGCTAGGTTTTCATTTTTTTTCGATCGCTCTCGATGTGTGTGTGCGTGTGTTGTCGATTTTTCGTCATGAAAATTCCTCGAGTCATCATTTTAAATATACAAAACGGTCAATAGACACACTACTCAGAAGTAGCAGCCGCATCGCAGCGCAGCACAACGGTAACAGTGATGGCAACAATAATCCCAATTGATTCCGGGTAGCGACCAGTAGTACGATGAGGCGAAACAGGGGAAAAAGAAAATGAATAGAGATAGAGAGTGGGCACAAGATGTAGAAAGGAAATGAAAGAAAAAAAAATAGTCGATGAATATTTTCCACAGAAAATTAATTCAATTTTGGAACTTTTGACGGGAAAAAGAAGTGAACAGGCAGGCACACAGTGCGTTTACGGGCCTCCATTTGAAATGTGTTGGTTCGTTCGTTCGTTGGACAGCACACACACAACTTTTCGAAACTTCTATGAAAGTCTTTGTTTCTGAAACTTCGGCACAAAAATTCCACTAACTTTGCATATTGATGGGAAAACTCATTTCTTTAAGTGCGTACACCAATGTAGAGGTCGCTTCATAAATGTTGCCCTTTTTGTCACGTAATGAAATAGCAATATAAAAAGATGTTTCTCTCTCTCTCTCTCTCTCTCTCTCCCTCTCTTGTGTGTTTGTTCTCGCTAGCATTAGGATGGATTTTTTTATGAGCTTTATTGAAATTTTTGATACATGAAATGGACTTGAGTTGAGTTTTGCGACTCATCACTTTGATTTGTGGTTTGGGCCGATGCGTTGGACGGATGACTGCTGCTACTGCTTTTCGTAATTTGCAATTCGCATTGTATATCAATACATGCTCTGTTGGCTCGCATATTTTCAAACTAAAATGGACCTTTTTCGCCATGACTACGCAAACGGGAGCAGAGGATGGGGTGGTCTTTTTACACAGGTTTGCATCTCAGCAATGCCTATTGTGCATTTTCTGTGTGTGGTATATATAGCACACACAGACACACACACTCATTCCCTACTCCTGCTCTGCTCATCTCAGTATGTATGTACTAACGCTCTTTCAACTAAATGATCTAAATAATGAACAGCAGAAAATGCTTTCGAAAGCCATCAAAAGCACTAGAGCGACATTTGATGTGCGTTTTAGTCGGCATTCCTTTTTCAATAACGAAGAGAACGAAACAGAAAATAGAAAGAACAAGAAAAAATATATATGCTCATACATGAGCACACGAACAATACTTGCAAGCAGCACTATTCTAATATGATGGAACTGAGAGAAGAAGAAGAAGAAAAAAAAATTGTTTGCTCGAGAGCATCCCTAAATTGCACTTTGCCGAGGAATCGTTTGCAATAAAGAAAAGTGCAACAACATTCACGGAAAGAAAGAGAGCAAGATAGATATAGCGAAGGATAGAAAGGGTGATAGAGTGTTCAATGATTTTGCAGAAAGCTTTTGGCCGTAAATGTGCGTCTAGTGGCTCAATTAGCTAGGCACGCCCGATGAATTTGAATTCAGACGAATAGTGGCGCCTATTCCAAGAATATATACTCGTACAATCAGCCAAATCATACAATTCATGAACAACTATTTTCAATTTGACTCCGGTTACAGTGGTTATCGTCAATCACATTTGTAATTGCGGGGTTGAGACCACTTTCGGAAAAGTCTCAGGTGAAATATTTATAGTTGGATTTTTTTTTCCACCGTAATTGGTTCGAATTGGAGTCTCAAACCAAAAAACCCTTGTGTCGTTGCGTGTCACGCATATCATACACACATAAACAGTCACACGCGCACCAAACTACAATTATTCCATCCGATGAAAACCACCGAAATTCCCGAAGCTATCGTTTTAAGTGTGACTACTATTCAAAATTGAATAGATAGACGGACAACGAACACGTCAGCTAGAACTGAGCACACGATGAAAACATATTAGATAGAGCACAACGTACGCACAATGCTCAAAAAGCGATGGCAATGAATTTCTTTTGTCTTCTTAATGTACTCGGCCATACGCCGTATGTGTGTGCTACTGCTATTCGCGTTTCGTGTTTTGTATCACAGTTGCCGTCTTTGAGTTTGACAAGAGTCAAAGTATCAACATGTTGCTATCCATCATCATTCAAAATGTTAGGCTTTTCACAAACATATAGTTCTCAATGCGTGGGAAATCCATTGGAGCGTTTTTGTTTACCAGAAGACGAAGTAGAAGACAAAGACGACGAAAAAAGACCGTGAACGGCAGCAGGCAGGCAGGCAGGCAAGCAGGCATAGAGTCAGTGGAAGAAAAGAGCGTGCCAAGTTGAAAGTATCAACTCGATGGATTAGGCAAATAAATTTCATCGAAATTTTTGGCGTTGTAAATGAGAAGTAATTTCAAAATAGATGTGCTAACCACAGGCATTTTATTCGCTGAAAATTCTATTAAGCGATTGTTGATTACAACACAAATTTGCGTCGATTGCAACCGAGCAACAAATCTTCCTCGCTTGCCTGAGCCTGAGAACCGTTCGCGGTGTAAACGTGCGAGAAGGCAAATAAGCGGGCGAGCGAGCGCGCATCGTGCGTCCAATGCTATTTGCTACCGGTGTCAGAATCAGTTTATAATGCAAAGTAAACGAGATCATAATAGTCAAAAATTGAAAACTAATTTCGAAATTATGTAATTGTCAGCACCAAAGCAATCGCATGCAGATGAACGAACAAAACGAATTTACATAAATTAACACACAAACGAGAATGCTGCCATCATAATTTCAGAAGGAAACCAAGCACACTCTGTGGTGTGTTCGTGTTTCCTTTCGTTTCGTTCACGCCAATGCCACCGATCACAGAGACGGCGAATGCTTAAAATAATAATGGTGAGCGCTTTCACTATTCACTCTCTGTCTCTCCCTCCCTCTCTTCCTCACACAATTCTCTAACTATCAAACGCATTCCGAATAATGCGTGAAAAGCGATTTAAATTATCGGTTAAACGATTACGTGTGCATTGATACGCCTGAAATAAAATATCTAATGGAACCGAATTATAAGTTCTCTCTCTCTCTCTCTCTCTCTTTCTCTCTCTCTTCGTTTCTCTATATCTCGGATGTGTGTGTGTGTGCGTACTGATTATAGGGTGTTATACTGGGTTTGGGTGTACACTTACTCATAAATGCCTTGCAGTGTTCAATTAGCTATTTCACGTGATTAGTTTTATATGGCATTCGATCGAGTAAAAGCTCCCCTCTGCGTGCTTATTCGCTTACTATAGCTCACTCGTTCCATTTTCAGCCGCCATTATCAAGTGAACGAGCGAGTTTCGAATTTCAACTCCATCCCTTTACCTATTGTATTCAAATTAACAGCTCGGAATGAGGACGATTCCTCGATATATAGAGAGCACGAGAAATTTGCGTGACGCTGTTATTACTTTTTTTTCACTCTGCTCTTCGTGTAGATATATATATGGGTGTCTTTTTTTATATCGCTCTCTCCCGATAATTTAATCTCAATCGGAAGTCTCTATTATTTGAGCCATTCAATATTCGCACTTGAAGCTCTCTCAAATGGGAATAGGGAAATCAGCACGTGATATGCGATGCTTTTTCGAATAATACCCTTATATAATCATCTTAACGTGGAGATAATCAACAATAATTAAACGTTATCTGCTACGAATTTCGAAAACTATTGATTCGTTCGTATTTAGAATATACAGTAGGGTACGGTATTGGATTGGCTGGTTTGTATAATATTTATGCCTTTGCCATGCGGTTGGTAGCTGTAAAAAATTGTACGCAAAATAGAATTTTTCAGAAGCTTTTGCTGTTTTAAGCAAATGGAAGCAGCAAGAGCGCAATTGTTTTTGTCGTATATCGTCGTCGCACATCGCATTTTCGCATTTTCGCATTTTCTTTTTCTTCTTTGTTTAATTGCTATAATTTTCCTGGGAAAAGTTTGCACGCCATGTGTCAAAGTTCGTGCTCTACCATGTAATTTGATGTATACACAGTTCGATTTTGTGAGGCCACCCGTTTTTGACGTTACCAAAAAAGTTTCAGTGGAATGCTTTGATGGCGGATTGTGTTCATGTCGTTTTCAGTTAACCACTCACTTTTCGCTTATACACAAACGTATATAAATATATACCAGCTCCGGCTTCTGAGCGTACAAAACACGCGTATACCACTCCGAAAATGTAACGGGTATAAAATGCGCTTTAGTTCTAAATTGACTAGCCACAAATATGCAACTTTACAGAAGAAAGGTGCGTGTATTTCAAAACAAGGAACAAAAACATACAAACACACACAAGTGTGTCTCAGATACAGTTCCATTAATATGGATTCGAGATGCTGAGAATATTCATAAATTTTGGGCAATATTTTGAATTTCTCAAGCAAAACACATTTTAGTTAATTCGTTTTCATTTCAGCTTCATTTATCAGCCGACAGCACAAACTTCTCCTAACTTGATTCATCCATCGTCGTGTTTTGATACAGTAAAATATGCCGTAGCCAACACACGCCAGAGAGTATGAGAGAAAAGTGTGTGTATACAATATTGCTTTTGAGCCAAGTGGCGGCAATCGATTTCATGGCTTAGGCTCATTGAATGATAGAATCGTTACAATTTAGAAGAAGGATATCCGCCAATATTCGAGTCAGTGAAGTGTACCTCTTGTATACATCCACGCTTCACGTGCTTATGCACATTACGAATGTTGTTGCTTTTTTTTCTCTTCAGCGTGTGCTGCTGCTTCGTCAGAATGGTATAAGTCCAAAGGTATGTTGGCATCCAATTTTTATGGCTTAAAATCATTGTAATAGACTTAACTCAATCGAATGTAATTAATGCCGTGCAACCCAATTAAATAATACATGGCTTGTTGTTTTTCGTCATTCTTTTTTCTCGTTCTTCATTTGACTCGTTGAGATGCTCAACGGTCAAAAGGAATTGTTACACCGAACCAAGCAATTTGATCGCATGACGTTACACCAGCCACATACACACACAAAATGCCTGTTTAGGCACTTATGCGTTTAATTCTACCGTTTCGCAATTGGTCTGAAGTGTTCTCTTCCTCTCTCTCTCTCTCTCTCTCTCTCTCTCTCTCTCTCTCTCTCTCACTCTCACTCTCTCTTCATATAGTTGAACAAGTTGATTGTTTCGATTTTTCACGGGCAATCAATTTGGCAATTTGCTTCGTGAATGGAATGGAACAGTGTTACTGCTTTCAGCTTAAAAAGAAACAGAAGCAGCAGAAGAGAAAAAAATCGCTGAGCCCACCAAGAACATACACACCCACACAAAAGAGGTACAACAACAACAACAACACAACAACAAGTGACACACAAAATGAGCGCAAGACATGCGAAAATCGCAGATCTGCGATTATTAATAATAATAACAATTCCACATCTCTCTTTCTCACGATGAGCATTTACAAAAGATGATTGGCAAAAGACAAAACACTTTCATCTGCCATTGTTTCACACATACCACTCACTCTCACTCTCACGGAATTGCAACAATCGCCTCAATAGTGCTCACGTTCGACACATTTTTTACATGCCGCATAACGATTGAAAAGGAATGTCGAGCCAAGCGATTCAATGAGAACAATGGATTTTCACGCGTATGTAATTGTCTATCGAAACGAGCTGTTGCTTTGTTTTTTCTCTCTCTCTCTCTCTCTCTCTCTCTCTCTCTCTCTCTCTTTCTTACTCTTCCTGGTGCGCTCTCGATGATGACAAACCCAACGTGATGACAAACCCAACGAGCACATACAGCCCATATCTCGTTTTCAATAGAATGCACAGAGAGCAAATGAACGAAGGAAAGAGGGAGCAAGCAGATAACGAATGTGAGCTGATGCTAAAAACAGAGATTTAGCGAATCATTGAAATTTTCGCCAATGTGATTTGAAACTATAATGTGTGTGTTGAATGTGATAAAACTTTTGCCATGCGTTCGCTGAATCCAATGTTTCGCGGTGCTTAATCTTCCTTGTGTACTTCTTATTCTGGCCAATGTCGGGCCACCCAACAATCTTTTAGTCTTTCCAATTGCTCGTAGATTTGTATGCGAATGTAGTTAAGTGGGTGTGTGTGTGTAGTGCTCTTTCGAAAAGACAATCAACAAGAACATGTGTGCCGTGAAAACGGATAACAAAGCTTAATGGCTATGAAAAACTTCGAATCAGCTATTAACCAAATTTCGGACAAGTGGCGTCGTCATGGTAATTTGGCCATTTGTATTTTGAAAAAAAGAAGAAGAAGGAGAAAAGAAAAAAAAAGATAAAAGATAGAATGAAATAAGTGTTTATTTTCTTAAGCCATAAGAAGGAAGATGTGTGTACCGCCAACACCGTATAGACATAAAGGAACATTTACGCAAGTTTTCGCTCACTTGTTCCTTCCATAGTCCATGTAGCATAACGGAGGCTGCTTTTGCGTCGTATCATACACAATTTTTTTTCTTTCGTTCTTCGCTTCTTCATCCCTGTGCTTTTCAAAACGGTAATTTCGATTGTGTTTCAGTGGAGCACAACATCATAGTCTTCGTGGAAATCCATTGAACGAAACAAGTGAGAGCACGAATGTTTTTTGGCTCTCACACGAAAGATACTCTCGCTCGGTCGGTCGGTCGGTCGGTCGCTCGCTCGCACTCTACCTCTCTCCACCAAAAATGAAACATGAAATTTCGACACCGCTGTTCTTCATATACACAGCATGACAGTGGAGACGTTCATTTCTTTTTTTATCCAAGGTGTGTTAAATTGCCATTTTTCACAGTTTTTTTTTTGCTATTTAGGAAATTTTTCCACTAGTTATACCCTTGATTCTGCAAAAATGCCAGACAATTTGATGGCACAGAGGACAATTTACTCCTCTTCTATATTTTTTTGTGTGTCTCTCTCGCTTGCTGAAATTTAATTAACACTTGGCCTCTGTTTCATTTATTTTTGTCTTATCCGCTGCTTATGGAGTCAAAATTGATTCCGTTGCGTGTAACCAGGCGAACATGATGCCATTCATATTTGACATCCTCAGTAACAAACAAAACAACACAAAGAAAGGCAGTCAATGACAGATAGCTGAGGATATATGCTAAGCATAGAAACTCAGTAAGCTGAGATTAGGACATTTTGACTTTATGACGTGTGATCCATATAAATGCATGATGAAATGCACGAAATTGTATGTGTGCCATCATAAATTTGTATGGACTACACGTCATAAAGTCAAAATGTCCCAATCTCAGGTTGCTGAGTTTCTATGCTTAGCATATATCCACAGCTATCTATCATTGACTGAAGAAAGGTGACAATTTATTCAGTGTTTTCTTTTTTGCTTTCATTTCAATTTGAATGTGAATTTTTCCAAATAGAGAACAGATTTTTAACAGTTGATTAGGCAGTTGATACGAAACATTTTGGTTGCAATGTCAAAACCCAAAATCGAGAGTTTCGGTTTTGACTGTTTCGCCACAGCTTAATTTTTTTTTTTCATTTTGTAAGCTTAAATAATAAGCTTCCAATCTCTTTGTTCATCGAGCCTATTCACTCCTCAATATGCATGGCTGTTTTCGCATATGTTTTGCATGATTTAACATTTTTATTTATATTTGTTCATTGCGTACTGTATTAATAAATTGACGATGATGTCGAACATAATTCAGACGGCAGACGGATTCTTAACAGGCAAAAAGAAGCATGCGTTCTGAATGCGAACGAGTGTGAGTGGAATCGGCTTAAGTTCGAAGGATAAGTGTTAAAAATAAGCCTAATCACAAAGGTCAAAAGAATATTGAGTAATTGGCAAGGTCGTCGTGCACATCGTCTATCACATAGAATCAAAAGAAGACGCAAATTTGTTTTTGCCATGAGAAGGAAAAAAAAAATCCACATATATGAAATCAAGTGATTCTGTGAAG